TAAGTGTCCAACAAACAGCGTCACCTCCATATGCTGGGAGGCCCCCAACCCCTGCAGTTGATAGTTGGGATCCTGAGACAGGATCTCAAATATTAACATGCCCTGTATTTGAGGCAGGAGGACAGCGAATTCACCATGCTTTAAATTTAAAAACAGTGAAGCAGCTAAAAGAGGCTGTAACAACCTATGGTCCTCAAGCACCCTTCACTGTAAGCATGGTCGGATCCATTAACAACTTGAACATGATGCCAGCAGATTGGGCTAATATGTGTAAAGCTGTGCTAAATGGAGGACAATACCTGTTATGGAAGGTTGCCAATGAGGAATTTTGCAAGGAGATGGCTAGGCGAAATGCAGCAGCTGGTTATCCTCAGAGAAATCTAGATATGTTGTTAGGAAAGGGACCTTATGAGGATCAGCAGCAACAAATTGCATATGATCCTGGTGTATATGCACAAATTGCTGTAGATGCAGTTAAGGCATGGAAGACTTTACAAGGACATGGAGGTTTACAAGGTCAATTATCTAAGGTAATACAAGGAGCTAATGAATCTTACGCTGAATTTGTAGATAGGCTTATTCAAACAGCTACCAGAGTTTTTGGGAATATAGAACAAGCAATGCCGTTAATAAAACAACTGGCTTATGAGCAAGTGAATCGTTGGTGCAGAGAAGTCATTAGACCATGGAAACATGAAGATTCAAAAACATATATTAAATTATGTAGAGACATTAATGAACAAGAGCAAGTCGTGGCAGCTGCAGTAAAACAGGCTTTAGATGCCAGGCCAAGAACATGCTACAATTGTGAACAAACAGGACATTTTAAAAGGAATTGCCCCAGAGGAGGAGGGTTTAACAAAACTAGGTATCAAAGGAGTAGAATACCAGGTATTTGCCCACGATGCCATAGAGGGAGACATTGGGCTAATGAATGCCGTTCTCAAACCACCATAGAGGGTACTCCATTATCAAAAAACGAACAAGGACCAGGTGTTTATCCATGATATCGTGGAGAAAGGCATCGGGCTCCATTGCCAAAAAATGGACAGGGGGGCCCAATGCTCCGGGGCCCAAAACCACAAATATACGGACCACTGGAGGAACCCAGCAACCCCATCAGGGTAGTGCCCAGGACACATTGTCCATTAGATCCCTCATCAGACAAACCAGAGGAAGCGCAGGGTTGGACATCTGCGCCTCCGCCAGAGCAGTACTAACTCCAGAGATGGGAGTTCAAATCATTCCCACAGGGGTAAAAGGACCTCTTCCCAAAGGAACAGTAGGCTTATTATTGGGACGCAGTTCTTCTACTCTAAAAGGACTTATGATAAATCCTGGGGTAATTGATCCCGATTATGAAGGTGAAATAAAAATTATAGCCAGTTCTCCAAAGGGTATATCAGTAATTTCACCAGGAGATAGAATAGCACAGTTACTAATAATACCCAGCCTACATGATAAATTTTCCAGTCGTACTGTAGAAAGAGGTTCCAAGGGATTAGGCTCCACAGGTGTAGATTGGGCTATGCTTTCTCAAGATTGTATTGTTAGTATGTGGGGTCTCCAGAGTTCATCTCTTAACTGCTAAATAACCTATACTAAATAGCCTATACTAAATCCTAAATAGCGTATACTACTAACTCATGAAATGCTAATTGCATATCTTTGTCTGAATTACTTGTTATTCATTCTTTTATCAGTTAGGATAGGCTAGATTATGTTATGGTAAAACCTTAGCATCTTTGTAGTTTGCAACAACAAATGTTTATTTTGTTCCCATTATTTGTCTACAGTTGGTCAGTTGCCCCTCTGTTCCTTGTTGTCTTCATTAAAGGACATGCTACAGGGGCAGCCTTAAACAGGGTATAGGCTTGTTTCAAGGCAATAAGAAAAGAGTATAATCAGCTGTTGTCAGATTTCACTGGGAAGAATAAGTCCTGAGGCTAAGACTGCTGTGCTTCTATAATGAATTAAAGAATGGAAAAAAAAAATAGAACACTACTTTCAATAATATGTTTAAAAACTCAACACCTGGTAAAACTGAATATTCATATGAAAAAGGATGTTTTTGGAATCTTACTTTATGCTAAGCAAAAATTATTTCAAAATGATTTAAATACCTAGATAGGAGACAAAACTATAATACTCTTAGAATAAAGCATAAGTGGAAAATTTCATGACATTGAACTTGACAATGATTTCATGACTATTATGCCATAAGCATAGGGAGCAAAAGAAAAAAAATATTTGATTTCATCAAAATTAGAAACATTTGTATGTTAAAGAAAAAGTCAAAAGTGAAAAGGCAACCAACAGGATGAGAAAATATTGGTGAACCATATATCAGATAATAGAATTGTATCCAGACTATATAATGAGTTCTTATAACTCAATAAAAAGACCACTCAATTTTAAAATGAGCAAAGTATCTGAATAGATATTTCTCCAAGGAGCACACACAAATAGGCAACAAGTTCATGAAAAGATGCTTGACAAAATTAAGCATTAAGGGAAATGTAAATCAAAATCAAATAAGATACCATTTGATTCACAGTAGGATAGCAAGGATCAAAAAGTTATACAATGGCAAATGTTGGCAAAGATGTGGAAAAAATTGCAAAGCACACATGCCACTGATGGGAAGGTATATTGGTGCAGTTGCTTTTCAAAAACTGGCAGTTCCTCTAACAATTTGTCATAGAATTACCATATGACCCAGAAATTCCACTCCTAGGTTTATTTCCAAGAGAATTGAAATCATACACTTAAAAACTTGTTCATGAATGTTTATAGTGGCATTATTTATAATAGTCAAAAGATGGAAGCCACCCAAATGCCCATGATCACACACAATAGAATATTATTCAGTTACAAGAAGGGTTACTGGTTGTACTAGTTAGCTTTTTGCCACTATAATAAATATCTGAGAGGATCAACTTATAAACAGAAAATTTTTATTTTGGTTCCTAGTTTTGGAGGTTTCAGTTCCCACATCATCAGTTGGCCCCATTGCTTTTGGGCCTTTGGTGTGACAACACATCATGATAGAAGCACATGGTAGAACAAAACCACTCACCTCATGCATAGAGAGCAAAAGAGATGAAGAAGAAGGGGTTAGAGAACCACAGTCCCAATCAAGGTTATTACCCTGGTGACCTAATGACTTCCAAGTAGGTCCTACCCCTTAAAGATTCTACCATCTCCAATACCACCATCATAGGCAATAATCCTTTAGCACATGGATCTTTGAGGGTCACTTAAGATCCAAACTATAACACCAATACATGCTACAACATTGAGGAACCTTGAAAACATTATGCTAAGTGGAAGAAGGCAGTCAAAAAGACCACATATTATAGACTCTATTCATATGAAAATCCAGAATATGAACATCTATGGAGATAGAAAGTTGGCCAGTGGTTGCACAGGGTTGAGGTGAATAAAAGAATAGGACAGTTGTAGTTTTTTGAGGTGATGGTTGAACATATAGCTGTGAATATATAAAAAAATTGAATTGTTCATTGCAAATGAGTGCATTTTATGGCATGTGAGCTATATAAAGCTATTAAAACTAGATGTAGTAATGTTAGTTGGTAGGTAAGTGCTATAAAAGAAAGAGAAATAGGAATGAAAGAAAATATCTTTTAGGGGGAGTGTTGAAATTATAAGGCTGTGAGGGAAAGATTGTGAGATACTTAGAAATCTGTGAAATACCATTCCAAGCATGGTGAATAATAATAAATGGAGAGATCCTAGGGAATACAAAGGCAAATATGCTGGAATGGAGCAAGCAAAGGAGAATGTAAGGGAATATGAAAATGGAGAGAAGTAATGGAAATGTAGATCATATTCAGCCTAGTAAGTAAGCCTTTTAAAGACCTTTACTTTTTCTAATAGTGAGTTACAAAACTATTTCAGAGTGACACAGCTTTTTCTGTGTAAGAGACAACCACAAAACTCCAATGGAGTACAGCGATAAATTTTATTTCATGAATAGTTTCAGCTGATCTAGGCTAGGCTTAGCTGGTGGTGCTGATGACCTCAGATAGGTTTGTTGATGAGTCTAAGGGTTGGATGGGGGTTGACTGACCTTGGCTAGGCCCACATAGGTAGCCATGAAAAAGTATGGCTTTGATCTCCATGTGGATTGACCACAGAATTTTTGAGGCACCTTTCTTGGAACTGGACAGATTTTTATTTGCATATTATAAGTGAGTACACAAGTTCTGAGAAACTAATTGGCTTGCTTACATTCAGCTTCTAGCAAATAGAAAAGTTACTTTTTGAATGAAGATCTCAACTTCAAGTCCTCCGCAAAGTGCATCTACTAATGTTTATTGCCATTAAGATATATAAAGAGGATCTATTTTCATATGTACAAGAATTTTGTGAGATGAGTATCATTGCCCCATTTTATAGGTAAGGAAATTAAGAAATATGTACAGATTCACACAGCATATTAGAAGCAAAATCAGAACTTTAACCCAGTGATTAACTACATATTCATTTTTTAAAAACCCTACCACTTTTGCCTAATAAACATCACATTTATCCACCCTCTTGAGGATACTGAGACCCCTCTACAATAAAGACTTTATATCAAAGTCCACATGTCTCCTGCATACTTTATAGTCTTATCCCTACCCCAACTCAGTGGGCTTTTTCAGAACTTGCACAGAAGTATCTTCTTTTCTTTGGGGAAATTACTAGATGTCTACATTTCCTGGCCTTTGAAGTTTGTTATTACTCTGTCATAAAACAGAAGTGTGGCAATTACAGTTCTCTTTTCTTAACATAGAAGGATTGTGATTTCCTTCTGTTTTCTGAGTTCTGGGACTTACCTGTGGTTAGAATTCAGTTGATTCTTTTTTTTTTTTTAAGAGAGAGAGAGAGAGAGAGAGAGAGAGAGAGAGAGAGAGAATTGTAAATATTTATTTTTAAGTTTTCAGTGGACACAACATCTTTATTTTATTTTTATGTGGTGCTGAGGATAGAACCCAGTGCCCCGTGCATGCCAGACAAGTGCATTACCACTTGAGCCACATCCCCAGCCCTCAGTTGATTCTTTTTTTCACTGTAGACTCAGCCTTTCCCTGCTCCTCTCCTGTGGCACTTATTTGTTAAAACCACCAGAGAATTTGTATTTCCACAGGGTACTAACATAATTCTGATATTTGTTCCATTCCAAACTCAAATTATTTCTGATAACCTCCTTCAGGCAACTTCTAACAACTACTGTTATCTCATTTATAAAAATTCTAAATGACTATGCCAATGAACCAACAATTATGAAACCTAGGAATTTAGAAACAGTACTTAGTGTTGTAATAAAAGATAAATTTTGCAGCATTTTATTTCGATTAATCATATATACATTAATTACTGTGATACATTGTTACTAGATGCAAATGGTAATAATTTCCATTAATTTTATATGGTCATCCCCATGGTTTAACTCTTATTACTGAAGACAACAGATTTATCTTTTTTTCTTTTCATGTCTTGAGATGTGTGAGTATTTGATATTTTCTTATAAATATAGAGAACAGCCAAGACTTTTCTACTTTTTTCTTGCTGTTTTTCTAGGATGGCCAAATGAATGTCATTTTTCCTTTCATGTGATTTCTATTTATCCCTGGTACTCCATTCTTTCTCTCTGCGTACCCTTTTCCTCCATCCAGTGTTTTCTGCATGGCCCTTCTCTTTTTCCTCTTTGGCCAACCTGACGAATGGTGGGTCAATATGCTAACCAGTGCAAGGTTTCTTTTTGTCAGTAGGATATACCTGGTATCTCATGAATGGAATGAAAGAATATGCCGTGATCTTTGGGGCTTAATTGACATCAAAGAAGATGAGTCCACTTTTCTTCCACCCACTCTGTCCTCTAAATGATTCTAATACCTGTTCATTCTATAGGTTCTCCTTGGTGTATGTCATGTCCAATGAGGATAAAACAAACTGTCAACAGGCTAAACCTTGTTGATCAGTCAGAAATTCTCAGTTCTGTAGAAACAAACCTCATTTCCATACTTGTGCTATTTTTATAAAACTGACCCTGTCTCCTGGAGATGGCCAACATCCAGTCCTTTAGAATATAGAATATAACAGTTCATTATCTCATACAGACAAGGACTTTTAACTAGATGTTAAAGGACAGATGGATAAAAGAACCATTAACTAGATGTACTGTGGGAATCCAAAAAGTGTCACAAGTTTGACTCATACAGGAAATGTGGTTGGGTGGAATGGCTCAGAATGGGGAGTTTTCCTGGTTGTATATATGTAAGTGTATGTATAAAAGTGGATGGTCCGTTAGCCCTGGAGCTCTGCCAATGACCTGTTGAAGACTGTCACAGGGTTTTGATGTTCTGCATTTCCCAGACCAGTCCTGATTGTAACTATTCTCTTTTGTGTTTATTTGTTTTTTGTCACAGAGAACTGCAATCATTCAGGATTCTTCTCACAGATCCAGCGGTAGCTGACGTCACATAATGCAGCATCGAAAGTCTTTGTTAGGCCTATGGTGACACAGTTGAAGTTCTGATTCTGATGGGTAATACTGAAGGAGAAAAGAGAGTGTGGTCAAGGCTCATTATTTCAGTTTTGCCTTTTACAGATTTCAGAATCTAATGGAAGTTTGATTGACTGACTAGTTAGTTTTACATATACTCCTCCTCTGCACTGGGCCTTCCATTTCAATTCAGACCACGTCTTCTAAGCCAAGCTTCCCTCAGTGCAGCTCTAAACCCCACCTTTTCCTTTTAATTATTCTCTTCTATGAGTACTCATAGAGTTCCAGAATTTTGGACTAACTCACTTGTCTTTGGTCAGAAACATCTCATTGGTGGTCTCTTTTACCCCAGAAATAATGTTTTCAAGAGGATTTGTGTGTAGGAGGAGGGTACTAGGGGATCCAGGGCCTCAGGCATTCCAGGCAATCATTCTACCACTGAGCCACATTCCTAGCCCTAGAAATAATATTTTAGTATTATAGGATTGTTTGTAGCAAGAGTATAGAAAAAAGTAGGAAAGAAATTTCTTGGCTTTAGGAGAATCTTGATGATAGTGTCTGTTGGCCTTTTCCCCACCAGTTTTTCACTCATTCAGAGTTCTCAGTCTAACTGCAAAGACTCTGGTTTCATGGAAAAGATGAGTTTTGAGCTCAAGTAAATATGGAATCAAACTGTGGCTATATCATTAAGTAGCTATATGGCACTCAACACATTTCTAAGCCTTTCTTATGTTCAACTGTCTGTTGAGCTTTTTCTATGGCATCTTAGTGAACACTAAAGGAAATAATATAAGTGCTTAGCATTGAGTTAGATATTAGAAAAAACTGAATACGGGGCTAAGGCTGTAGTTCAGTGGTAAAGTGCTTGCCTCCTATGTGTGAGGCACTGGGTTTAATTCTCAGCACCACATAAAAATAAATAAAGATACCATGTATTCATCTACAACTAAACACACACAAGAACAACAAACAAACAGAAAAGAAAATACTGAATAAATATTAATTTTCTCTCCTCTGTAGGGAAGGCCAGCTGTAGGTTGGGGATTGGACTTGTTGACTCTCTAACTCAGCATTTTCATATGAGCCCTGAGAATATTATGGTTTCTACCAAAGTTTATCCCCATGGAATGATTCATTGGAGATATCTCTTTTGAATTAGAGGATCACAGCTTCAAGGAATAGACAAGTTGCCTTTGATATATAAAGGATCTACATCTAGGAAAACTTGTAGGCACTTAGAAAGAACATATGATGTGTAATTTGGAGATCTATGAGATACAGCAAAAAAATTGCTATATATGTGGATTTGTTTGGCTCTTACTCTGAACAAAATTATTTACTATATGAATACTCTTCTCTCATCTCTTCTATTTTTTATTATGAAAAATATTTGATATTTTCCCCTAATGAAAAATTTATAGGAAATGTGTTTATAGGACTAGACGGGTTGAAAGAAAGGAGAAAACTAGAACAAGGAGTTGAGTATAAGTCTTTGAACTATTTCAGGATGACTCTCAGGTGTGGTCTTTTGAGGCAAACCAAGATCCCCAGAACAATGCAGGATATTCACATACTTGCCATTGAACACTGAGTTGTTGATCCAACGCCACTTTTTCTCTGCAGACTGGTATGTTAAACCAATAAAGTACTTCTCAGCATTTGCAATGTGCTGGAGATACTCCTAGAAGTTAAAAAAGAAACAAACAGTTCAACAGCAAGTCCTTTACTGCTGCTTTCCTATAGGCAATGGGAACATGACTGTATTTTATTCAGGGAACTAATAAAGCTGTTAGAGATAGGAGACTGGGTATCACTGGCACTTGCTATTAACCCTAGAGAAGAAGTTTTTAAGTTTTGCAGGCACCAAGATCACCGAGAGGACTTACAAAAACACAGGTTGCTAGGCTTCTGGTTCAGAAGGACTGGTGTAGGGGATGCAGGATTTATATTCCTAGAAAATGACCTAGGATCACACTGAGGGAATGGGGAAGGGAAACTGTACAGTCAAAACCAGGTAATTTCATATACATCTTTTTTTTTATTTGGCATGCCCCTCTGCATAGAATTATTTTCATGGTCAGAAATTCTATATTCCAAATGAGGTTGAACTAGGTGATCATGAAATATGTTGACTTGAGAGTCACCAGCAGTCCACTGGCGTGATGAACATTTTCTGAGGTTAGCATGAAGCATGGAGAATGCCAAGGATGGAACTTGGGCAAGTAGAGGGAAAGAGCCATCAGCTTCCGGTCTCATTATCTTCTCTCTTCTCCCTTCTCCCTTTATTTCCTCTTTTCTCCCCTCTGCCTTGCTCCTAATTTTCTACTGGAAGGTGTCTTTTTGTTTCCACCTGGGTTTTTGGCCCTAGAGAATCTACAGCATTATGATTCTCACCCCAAATCAAGAAGACCCTCTTTCAAATTTTTCTCAACCACAGGAGGACTTTTCAGAGGAGGATGGAGAGATAAAGGGGAGAGGAGACAAGAACAGTACTTATAGCACAGTGCCTAACATCCAGCAAATGCTTAGATCTGAAGAGAAGGTAACTATAAACTAAAATACAGTGTGGCCTAAAGTTGATTAAAGCATGGGTTTTGTAGTCAGAGGGATCTGAATTCAATTTCATGTTCTGTCATTTAGATGTATGATCTTCGGCATGTTATTTTCTGTACCCTAATTTACTCATTTATAAAATATAGATAACAGTACATCCTCAGGATTATTTGAAGTAAAAGGAGATAATAAACAAATTTTGCATAATGTTATCTATATTGATTATCACAATAATAAAATGCAAACACTATTATATGATTCTTTGCTTTTAATATTACTAATGTGGTTGATTCATATCTTCCTTCTTCACTGTGTAAACTGGAATGATACATTAATATCTTATATCTGTGAAGTGTTCACAGATATAAGATATAAGTAATTTTAAAATAACTTTATTTGCATTAGTTCTTTGGTCATTCTCAGCAGTTTGAGTGCCTTGGCCCATCCCTAGGAAAGTAGCCTACTGCTGTGTCTTATTGGAAAAAAACACAGAGTCTGAATTTCTTGCTCAGATGGAGCTAAAGAACTTGCCCACAGCTACCAGGAAGTCTCCCAACTCTAGGTTCAGAACAAGGAGTTTGAACCTTTCATCCAGCCACCTCTCCATTCTTTGCCAATCACCCAGCCCTGCTCCACTACATTGCCACCATCTCTACCTACTGAGGCTGCTGTGGGAGGGCTGCTTCACTGTACCATTCCCCAGCCCTCTCACCAGTTTCTCTGGTGTGTCGACAATCGCCAAAGTGGATCCTTTTGATATACAGTCATCCCTGCTCTTGTTCCAAGACTGTTCAGATGTGGACAAGAAAAAACATCTTCTTTGATGAAAATCCCAGGCTTTGGGGCAGACTGAAGAGATGTGGGGTGAGTTGGGAGAGAGAGAGAATGAATGAGATTAGTGGACTAGAGTGTGAACCCTGGAATTGAGTCATAAAATAATGGGAAGTCATAAAATAACAATTATATTGATAGAAAAATGTTCTCAACCCAGGAAGAAATTTTATCCAGTCTGGTCTGTTTCCTTATGGAGAACACTCAGGGGATAAATTAGAAGGACTTTATGGCTCCTTTAAGCAAAAGTGCTCTATAAGAAAGGGTGCCATGAGAAAAGTCTGTAAGAATTTAGTACATGGAAACCTAAGGGGTGGCGAGGAGGTTAAAACCATATGCTTCACCTGTTCCGTATCTGCTTGTGGGCGTTAAGCTGTTCTTAGTACTCCCAAAAGATGGTGGGACTGAAATGGAGAAGAAAATCTAAAGGTTACTGTGTGGTGAATATAACTTGCAATCATCAGAGTACAGGCTGTCGGGTCCCTGTGACTATTTGTGTCTGGACATTGGGGATGACAAAGGGTACTTGGCCATTCTGAGAATTTTCAGATACTTTTTCTCTTTGAACCATCCATCTAACTAGTACCATTATTTGTCATGCTCAGCACCCAAGTCCTATTTCATGTCCCCCTTCCCTTTTGGGGGTATAGCATTCAGTATAAATGCTGGGGGCAGCAGGGGAACAAGAAATGGAAGAGTAATGGAGGAATTTCGTATTCCAGGGGAAATTTTTTGCTCTTATGTATGCCTTTGACAGTGTTATCCCTCAAAAAAGTTGTTTGGAGCATTTCCACCTTCGACTCCACACTGCATCTTTGTGGTGCTTGGTGTCTTATTAAATGCTCTACAAAAATTCTTAATCCTGCAACTCTTGGATGCTTCTCTCAGCACTTTCTCAGCTCTAAGGATTATGACTAACAGGAACAAATTTCAGGATCCTGGAGGTATTAGCAAACAAGGAAGCAGGTGAATATTCCAGATATTTCCTATAAGCAGAGAAGGGTCCATTATTAATACGTATTAAATACAACTAGGGGAATTTATGGGCTTCTAAGAGGTCTCATCCCCTCACCTCCCCAGGAACACTGGCAATCTTAGCAAGCAACTGCAATGATTTGTAGGCTGGCTGTTCAAACCTCTTCTCAATGACCTACTTTTCCATTATGGATAAAGACCACTTTAGTTTATTCAGATACCAAATTGTTCACTTAAAATTATATTTATAAAACAGACATTACTTTTTAATCAGTTTTCTGTTCCACAAGACTCTTTGTAATATCTAGTAGCTTGGGTTTCATCAGAAACTACTTTGGGATTATAACTGAAGGAAACCAATACATATTTCTTGAGTATTTTCTTCATTGGGTGCATCAGTTGATACAAATACAAATAAGAAATGATCTTTTTCCTAAAGATGTCTTAGAAACAGGTATCTTAAGAGGAAGCAGAGGGCAACTTTGGGAAAGGCTTCAAGAGGAGATGGCTTTAATGGGAAGAGCTTTGTCCTACTTGCCTTGTTATTCCTGTGCAACTTCTGGTATTGTGTCTTTTGATTTATAGATGATGACTGATTAGTATCTCCTGTGTTAATTATTCTTCTATGTTTGGTCTAGCATAATATTTGGCCCACAAAAAAGAAGCTTAATATCAAAATTTTGAGTGGTACATAGTTTCTTAATAAACATTTCTTGTGCACTGTTTCAGAGTCTATGAAGCACATTGACATTATATTACTGTGACTCCATCCTCAGGAAGAAAACTGAGAATCATATTTTCACTCAGGGGCTGGGGCATAGCTCAGCAGTAAACCATGTGCTTTGCAAGCATGAAGCCCTAGGTTCAATCCTTAGCACCATAAGAAAAAAATTGTTTTTCCCTAAATCTGGTTTTGTTTTTTCATCTTTAAAAGGAAGATAATTAATTAAAAGGTCTTTGTGGACCACTTGTGCAACCACATTTCTTGGGAAAGGAGACCTTGAGGAAAGTCTTTAAGAATTCAGCACATAGAGGCTGGATGGTAGAGAGGAGTGTACTATTGTGCACGTTACCTGTTCCATAGCTGCTGGTAGAGTTGAACCCATCATTACTTGTGTTAAGAATCTGCGGGACTGCAAAGAAAATCAGCTATTGGCTCAGCCCAAATGTGGATACACAATGAATACAACAAGCAAGCCCAAGGGCATGCTAGAGCACCATGATCATTAATGGGGAATATTGAACTCTCTGACTCAGGTCAGTGGACATGTGCATGTTTTTGAAATGTCTTTACCTACTCATATTTCTGTTCTTCTCTCTTAAGTGGTAGGAATTACACCTTCAGATTGGGTCACGAGGAAAATACCTCTTACCCAACTCAGGGACCTACTCACATTTCCTTCCTCATTCATTGTCTCCTCTGGCTCAGGGACTGGAGAAGATTCTACTTGTTTAATTGCAGTAAAACTTTTGATATGAGGTATCTTTTCCTAATTAATTCATTTGGATGAATGAATTTATGTGTACACATAGAGAAATTTTCCCTCAGTAAACACAGCCTTACCATTGCATTGAAACTGTATTTTCAAATTTTAGCAACAGTAACAAGGCCTGCTAAGTACTTCAGCTCAGATTGCCCAGCTAATACTTTAGTAACAAAAACTTTGTGTAGGTCAGTTCTTTATCTCCAAGGTAGACCCAGGAACCTGGCCCACTGTGTATGCTGGAGGGTAAGATAGGGATTGTCAGTTTTCTTCATGCTGGTTAGTTGCCCTCAGGTGGACATTTAACTTTACACTCAACCCTGCATTCTAAAATAAGAGTAAAAGAGCAAAACAATAAGAAGGCTGGGGGTAAGAGTTTGCTTCAATACTTACAATACAGTAGAAATAAGGTCACTCCAACAGATTTAAGCACCACTACGATAAGCCCATAGATTATCATGTGCCAGTTCATAATGAAGGGGTTTCTGGAGCCTGTGGAAATCAGAGTAACACCATCAGAATCTGGGGATATGGCTGCTTCTCTTGAGGACTGAGCTCAGCCCAGGGAGGTGTGGAAGGTACGCATGCCATTGACAGAAGAAGGAAACCCAGGAATACCCAGAACATGCATTGTACATTGTGCTGTTGGGGACAATTGACCTTGGCATTCTCTTTTCCTTCACTCATCTGTTAGCTTTGGGTCTTCGCCTTGACCCTATTTGTGCCTCCTAAACTCTGTCTGAGTTAATCTTCTGTATTTCAAGAATTCTTGGTCTTGAAATCATCCTTGCTTCCAAGGACCTTACTTTGTAGCCTTGGCCATACTGACTTCAGTTGTAGAAACCTCAGTCTTCAATATGTCAGGGATAGATGACAGAACAGGATTCTCTGAGGATCTGGCGTAGGGGAGGAGTCAATAGTCTACACAGAGGGGACAGAAAGACTTACCTGCTCTCTCTTTGGGAGGCTGGGCTGGCTTCCAGGTAAGGGTTTCCTGGTGGCGTAATTCTTGCTGCAGTGGGAAGGAACCCTGTCTTTTAAGAATACGTTCCTTCTGCTCAGGCAAAGCCTTCCTCCTTCACTGTCTCTCTTCCTGGCAGTATCCCTGAGCAAACCCTTCTTCCTGTTCAGTATTGTGGTAAAGAGAGCAGGCGGGGCAAAGCGAGGAAGGTAGCTTCTAGTTAGGCAAGAAGAAGATTTCTGCCAGGGAAGTGGTCATACAGGGGGACGTTTCTAGAAGAATTTAGAAAAGCAAATATGTCACCTTTCCTTTGAGTCTGAATTCTCTTTTAAATACAGTGTGAAGAAAATATAGTAAAATGTTAGCAAATAGGGAATCTGAGTAAAGTATATTTAGAAATTATTTGTATGTGCCTTATAACATTTCTGCAAGTCTAAAATTATATCAAAATTAAAATGTTAAGAAAAGAAACGTAGTGGAAATCACTAATATTAATGAGCAGGACCTTGTGTAGTCCTTTCACCCTGTTCATTGTCAGCTCTGCGCAGTGCCCTTCTAGGACATGTAGTGACTGTTCAGTGTTTCTGAGCACAGATCTCTGCTGGATACAGAGAGTGGGGAGAGATGAACAATGCTCAAGTCTCATTATCAAGAAATCATTATTCCATATTAAACTTGAAGTTTTCCTCTACTATAAAAGCTATATTTGTTCATTACAAAAAATGGCTAAAAAATATTGACGAACAATTGAGAACAATTCAAAAAACTTGTTCTAATTAGTTATACATGACAGTAGGATGCATTTTGACACATCATACATAAATGGGGTATAACATCTCATTTTTCTGGTTATAGATGGTATAGAGTTACACAGGTCATGTAATCATATATGCACATAGGGCTCCCTTCACTCCCCCGCTGTCTAACCCAAAGTACTTCTTCCCTAGCACTTCCTACTTATTGTGATTAGCATCTGCGCATCAGAGAAAACATTTGACCTTTGTTTCTTTGGAATTGGCTTATTTCACTTAGCATGATATTCTCTGGCTCCATCCATAATTTCATTCTCGTTTATGGCTGAGTTACATTCCATTGTGTGTGTGTGTGTGTGTGTGTGTGTGTGTATCTCACATTTTCTTTATCCATTCATCTGTTGAAGGGTATCTAGGTTGGTTTCATAGTTTAGCTATTGTAAATTGAACTGCTATAAACATTGATGTGGTGCTATCACTGCAATATGCTGATTTTAAGTCCTTTGGGTATATACTGAGGAGTGGGATAGCTGGGTCAAATGGTGGTTTCATTCCAAGTTTTCCGAGGCCTCTTCATACTGTTTTCCACAGTGGTTGTACCAATTTGCAGTCCCAACAGCAATGTATGAGTGAAGCTTTTCCCCCACATCCTAGCAACATTTATAGTTACTTGTATTTTTGATAATTGCCATTCTGACTGGAGTGAGATGCAATCTCAGTGTAGTTTTGATTTGCATTGTTCTAATTGCTAGAAGTGTTAAACATTTTTCATATATTTATTGATTTCTTAATCTGTGAAATGTCTGTTCAATTCTTTAGCCCATTTATGGATTGGGTTTTGTTTTTTTTTTAAGTTATTTTTTTTAGTTCTTTTATTTATCCTGGAGATTAGTGCTTTACCTGAGTTACATGTGGTAAAGAATTTATTTCATTCTGTAGGCTCTATCTTCATAATGCTTTCTGTACTGTGAGGAAGCTTTTTAGTTTGATGCCATCCCATTTTTTTGATTCTTGATTTTACTTCTTGTGTTTTAGAAGTCTTGTTGAGGAATTTAGTTTCCTAAGCTGACATGGTAGAGATTTGAGCCTACTTTATCTTCAGTTAGGCTCAGGGTCTCTGTTCTAGTGCCTAAGTCCTTGATCCACTTTGAGTTGAGTTTTATGCTGCTTTTATTCTTATTTGTATTCATGATAATTTGCATTCTGACTGGAGTGAAATGAAATCTTCATGTAGTTTTTATTTGCATTTCCTTGATTATTAGAGATATTGAACATTTTTTTTTCATATATTTGTAGGCCATTTTGGTTTATTCTTTGTAGAAGTGTCTGTTTTGTTCTTTTGCCCATTTATTACGTTATTTGTTTTTTATTATGTTTAGCTTTTTGAATTCTTTATGTATTTTGGGGTATTAATCCCTTGTCAAAAGAGTAGCTGGCAAAGATTTTCTCCCATTCTGCAGGCTCTCTCTTCATGCTCTTAATCATTTCCTTTGTTGTGCAGAAGCTTTTTAATTTGATGCCATCACACTTAATGATTCTTGGTTTAATTTCTTGAGTTTTAGGGGTCTTGTTAAGGAAGTTGGGATCTGTGCCAGTATGATGAGTGCAATATATTATACTATTATATTCCACACAAGTACTAAGCAAACATTAGAATGAACAAAAAGAATATAGACATACAGATATTTAAAATAGGCTATATTTCATTGACTCTGAAGTACACATTAATTTTCACTTAATAAAATCTCTGAATTCAGGATATATCATAATCAATGATAAGAAAGCATTGTACAATGTTGTCCCTAAGTATTGATGGGGGATTAGCTCCAGTAATCCTTCTCCCATCTACACATATTCCAAATCTGGATGCCCAGATACTTATATAAAATGACACAGAATTTGCATATAATCTATGAAGTCCTCTTGTATTCTTTAAATCATCCTTAGATTAGTACAGACACAATTCAAAAATATATTTTTGATTGGCAGTTGAATTCACAAATGTGAAACTCACAGATACAGATGGCTGACATTTCCATTGGCAGATATTTTTCCCTTAGTGATATATAACATAATGGGGTATCTTACAAGTGATGCTTTTTAGATTATGTGACATATTATAATGAAAGAATACTATAAAATTAAGTCATTATAATTTTAAACTTTATAAAATAGTTAAATACATATACAAATATAATTTACTAAAATTAAGAAATGAAGAGCTGAAGTGCCCTGGCAAAAATATGGCCCTAAGATTTTGAAAAAAATTGTAAGGCTTAATAAGCTGCAAGAAACTGTTAATTGTAAGTGGCAACTTCCATGATAAGATTTGAAATAATTTTAAATTTTTTTAAACTTATATCCAGTAAATTCTCATATTTATAGAGTATTAATATGTTGTTTTGTTGAATATCTCCTGGCCAACATCTCTTCATTCCCTCCTCTACCCTGACCCTCCCTAGTCATGGGTAAACTCTGTCTTACTTTACTTCTGTGAGAACCTATTTAGATGTGTGAGTGAAATCATATGGTATTTGTCTTTCTGGGCCTGGCTCTTCCCACTTAACATAATGTCTTCCAGGTTCATTCATGATGTCACAAATGACAGGATTAAGGCCTGAGGACTTGAACTATATCTGCAACTTTGGAAATATTAGACCTCAGTGAAGCAACAATAACCAGCAACAATAACTCAGCGAATAACAATCCAATCTCTGACTCTTCTGTGACTGTTCATATTTTTTATGTTACTGAAATTAATCCTCCATTATTTATATTTGCCATTTAGTCTAAGCCAGGCCATTCTAAAGATAATCTTGCTTTCCTTGTCCATAACTAAATTAAGTATTTATGCCTTCTCTCCTGTCTGCTCAAAGACTTAATTGTGATGTAGGAGGGGATGTGGCTGGGGGAAGACATTATTTGCCTACATGGGGCCCAAGGTTCCATCCTCAGCACTGTGAAAACTCAAACAATAACAACAACAAAACAGTAAACCAAAGTGGGCGAGGATATAGCCAGGCCTCTAGAACATTAGGAACAAAATGAAGCTAGATTTTGCTGTGTCATGTTTTTGTTGTGATAGAGACTATAGCAGAGCCACAGAAACTGCTGGATTTAACCACTTGCAAATTTTTCTTGGCTCAAGTTAGGAAAACATCAATGATAGGCTTAAAATAAAACTATCAAATATGGTAAGGGGCAGGGTCATGGAAACATAATGGTTGGAACCTGAAGAGGAGCAGTTACCTTTAGATGGAAGTAGTTGTTCTCAGAAGGGAGGTTCTGGGAAGGCAAACAAACAATGTGTGTGTGTGTGTGTGTGTGTGTGTGTGTTTCTACATATGCGTGCTATTCCAACCATTCTTACTACATTTGCCCACTTGTTCCTCTTAGAACTTTAGTCTTCAACCTTGCCAACAATTTTCCTCTTCTTTTATAACCCAAATCAAAGCATATATTTTTCTGGCTAGTGTCTCTTTTAATGATCACAAGTCTAGTTTATGGTTCTAATATCTAATGTGAATTTCAGTTCTTCATTTAAAAAAATCTGCTACTGTTTTCCAACTAGGTAATGTGATGTCAGTCAATTTGTTATAACTCTCAGACTATGTTACCATTTCTTCCAAACTGGAGCCAACTTCCTCTCTTAACTTCTTCATTTTTGTTAGTGATTGTGTCATACCACCACTCCACACTGAAATCCTCCTTAATTCTTCCTTCTTTTTCAACCACTGAATCAGGATGCTAGATGATGATGTTTTTCCAAAGCTGTCTCATATCTGTTGCAGCTTCTTCATTCTTATTGCCACCTTCTTGAATCAAGACTCTTTTTATTGCCATTGGAGTACAAATGTCTCAAACCCTTTGCCTCCTGTTTTTCAGATCAATCCTGTGCAATGGTATCATTTGAAACTTTATAAAATCTCTGTTGTGATCATGTTATTTCCTTATTTCAGTTTCTATTAAAACCACTAACATGAAAGGCCTCAGCACTTAATGAGTTGGCTCCATATTCTGACTTTCATGTAGCTATATAGAATATACCTGCTCATTCCTCTAATCCTTTTTTATATACTGTTTACATGAATTCTGATCCAAATGCTGCTCACACATTTTGTTTATGGCAATGTCTTTGATGCCTAATTAATTGTAGCCTCTTATTGCTATTTAGAATTTTCTATTTGTTTGTATGTGTCCCTCAGTTGCTGTCCCATTGCTGTCCTGTATCCTTCCTTCACCCTTGTCAAGTGCATGAGGATATAAATCTAGGCTAGGGTTGTAGCTTAGCATATGCTAAGCCCTGGGTTCAATTCCTGGTACCTGGGGTAAGGAGGACCTCAATGGAAAAACTAATTTCTAAGGAAACCTTAAAGAGGCTTGCCTACTTAGAAAGAAAAAAGATTTTGAATTGTCT